GGGGTGAAGGAAGCCGCGCGGGTTGCTCCGACCGGCCGCCGTCCAACCCGCCAGAGCCGCTGCTCCCGAACAATGAGGCGCCCCACGACTCCATCCCCAAACCTCTTGCTCCTGGAAGGGCCCAGAGAAGGAGTGCCATGTTGGCATGCGGGGCGGGGAGGGGGAAGAGACGGGAAGGAGCGCCTCGGTTGCTCCCCGGCCGGCCCCCGCTAAGGAACATCACACGACGGGGGCGACTCACCCTTTGTCGCCTCAGGGAAGAGGAGAAAAAAGAGCAGCCCCGCCGCCGCCGCCGTCATGGTGGTCGTCGCAGAACTCGCCCAACAACCCAAACTTGCGCGGGGGACCCGTGGCCGCCTCCGGCTAGGAGAGGAGGCCCTTCGCGCCGCCATTGTCTCGCCCAGGTCCCGCCGGCTCGGCCCCCCTCACCGTCGCGCAGAGAGACCAACCGAGCCCTCTCTCACGAGACGGCCCCAAACCCTCCCACTTCTGGTTCCCGCCCCGCCCGCGAGGCAGAGACACAAGAACGGGCGCCTTCCCTTTCTTCCCCCTCAGCCACGGATAATCTCAATGGTAAGACGGGCCTCCCCCTGATTGGTGGACACACACACACAAACAAACACAGACACACACACACAGACACACACGAACAGGCAGGAGAAGTGGACGGTTAGCTCACGCGGCGCAGGAAGATGATTTTGGAACGCCTTACCTCAGAGCTGGCCCATAAAGAAGGCTGACTGCCAAAGAATTGATGCTTTTGAATTGTGGTGCTGGAGGAGACTCTTGAGAGTCCCCTGGACTGCAAGAAGAACAAACCTATCTATTTTGAAGGAAATCAACACACGAACAGGCAGGAGAAGTGGACGGTTAGCTCACGCGGCGCAGGAAGATGATTTTGGAACGCCTTACCTCAGAGCTGGCCCATAAAGAAGGCTGACTGCCAAAGAATTGATGCTTTTGAATTGTGGTGCTGGAGGAGACTCTTGAGAGTCCCCTGGACTGCAAGAAGAACAAACCTATCTATTTTGAAGGAAATCAGCCCTGAGTGCTCACTGGAAGGAGAGATCCTGAAGCTGAGGCTTCAATACTTTGGTCATCTCATGAGGAGAGAAGACTCCCTGGAAAAGACCCTGATGTTAGGAAAGTATGAAGGCAGGAGGAGAAGAGGACGACAGAGGATGAGATGGTTGGACAGTGTCATTGGAGCGACCAACATGAATTTGACCCAACTCCGGGAGACAGTGGAAGAGAGGAGGGCCTGGCATGCTCTGGTCCATGGGGACACAAAGAGTTGGACACGACTAAACAACTAAACAACAACAAGACCTCAGTGCTTCCCCCTTTGTCTCGGTTTTCCATTTCATCGTCCTGAGGTCTAGAGAAGGAAGGGTGAGGACTCCGGCACGGTCGCTGTTCAATAAGTACTTTCTCTGGAGCATCGCTTTTGTATGGTGAAGATTGCGTGTCCAGGACCTGTACAGCCCTGGCAAAGTTTAAAGTAACCCTCTGTACCGGGGAGATGTGGAGTTGCAGTCTTTGCAGACTAGTTGCACAGCTCCCCAGAAATAATTCAGAAGCCAGGGACGGGGTGGGGAGGCAGCAAAATCTGTTAATGATACTCATGGATTGTTGACCTGACTGTCTTTATCTGGGAACATGTAAAGAAATGCCAAGTTTAGGATTGGGGAGGGGGCAAAAAACCCTCCTCCAACCAGTCATTGCCCGCATCACTTTTCTAGGTGGCCACTTTCAGTGAAAAGTGAGACCGCCCGGGTCACTCCATCATGAGCACACCAAAGTGCTAGGTACCGACACAGTATTGTGGACATATTTGCTGGGGACGGCGTTGGGCAACAGTCTAGTTCTCCTTCCCTTCTCCTAACTTTGCTTTCTTGTCAGGAGCTTTGCTAGGGATAAACACCCCAATCTAGTTGGCTCTGTAAGCATTGGGAGCACAAGCTTTGAATCTGAGCATTTCACTAAAATAATACATTCTTCACAGATGTCTTTGTGTATATTCCACACAACAACCCAAATAGACCACAGTAAAGCCCAAGAGGCCTGGCTGGTGATTCATATTGCACACTTGGTCCCATAGTCTGTGGGGTAGGCCAGATTTGAGAGATGTTGATGTTTCCTCTCCCCCCCCCCATCTCCTGTTTGAGAATAGGATATGCATGCTAAACTCTCAGGCTCATCACTGTTTGCTTGAGTGAGTTGCAGGCAAGGCAGGGGAGAAAGAGGGAGATGAACTCGAAGCAACCGTCCAGCTTTGAAACCAGGCACAGGAGGAAGCAGCAGCAGATAGAAATCTTGCTGATTTGGGGATAGGGTGACCACTGCTCCATTGCAAAGAAGGAAGAGAGGCATCACCCACAAGGGATGACAAGGAACAGCAAACAGGACGATGTTCATCACACACACACACACAAAAACCCACAACATATTTGCATTAGACTTGTACATGTTGGTTTTAAACTGGTATGTGCAAATATCCATCACAATTAGACACTATTACTATAAGTTAAGAGTAAATATGCTGCTGTATTGTGACTAGACAACAACCTTGGCACACAGCAATAAACTAAAAATGGGATATAAATCAATTGCATAAATAAGATTAATAACTACAAAATGCCCTCTGCCTAGTATTTTCTGCAGCTTTCTGAAAGTTAATAAATATAGTGTAAACAAATAAACAAGTCCCTGTAGTTTTGTTGAAATATGTGGCTAGGCAGCAATCAGTTATTTTAGAAGAATCGTCAGAATTTTGCTTTTAGAATGTCTGGGAACTGACCTTGTATTTTAAGTTCACACAGAATTTACATGCCGTGCCATATCCTTCTGCTGTGCACTGTAGTTACGATATACTTCTCTGTGGTTTGTATCTTAAAAAACAACCACCACACACCAACATATAAACACACATCTAGCAATTTAAGTTAAAAAAATGAGAGAGCATTGTCTAGATACATTTACCAATCAAGGCCTTTACATTCCCTGCTTGGCCAGGTAAACTTGCTGAGGAGTAAAGTGGCCACTTGCATTTAACAAAAAAGAAGATATGCATCACTGGGAAGGAAGATAGCTCTTAAAACAGAGGACTGAAAGGAGGATATATGAGTATCCTAATTGGGGACAAGGTGGCAAAGTACTCCTCAAACTTCTCCTCAACTTAACTGGGGAGGGGATGAAAAGAGAGAACAAGAGGCTGTTTCTGCCTCTTCCTTTCTTGTGTGTGAGAGTGTGTACACAAACCCTTGCTTGCTTGCTTACATGCCTGGCTGCCTCTGTGTCCTTGTGTGAATATCTGTGTGTATTGATGATTTTTGCCCAGCTTTTCCAGTTACCCCTGGCTTTTTCCATCATTCTGCCTTCTGTCTACCAACCACAGTGGGTACCACTGGTAGCAGATGCCACTACGAGGGCCCAGGATAATCTTCCTGAATAGCCCTGATAATGGTTTTTTGCCCTAGCCCTGCCTTATTTTTAAACATTGTCAGGTAACAAATTGTGATTGGGACTTAAATAGGCTGGAAGGGGAGGATGCAAATAACTCACCCACTTCATGACTGGACCTCACGATTGCTTGAAGGAAATACATTATGTCTAATGAATAATTGCAACAGTGCTCTATACAGATCACAATTATGATGGCAAAGCTATCTTTGACTCTGGAAGGTACCTAGACCTGTGTTCCCTTATGAGACACCCTGAAATAAGCTGGACAGGGAGAGTCTTTTAAACTAGGGTAAAAAAATGGCATTAAATGTGTAGTTTGTAGCTGCAAGGTGTTGGCGGATGCCTGTATTTTAAGACTTGCTGAAGCCATATATAACTAAGTGGAAAGATGATGCCCTAGGATACAGAGCATAATATTACCACTGTTCATATGTAAAAAGGGCCCAATCCAGACTGGGTGCATCCTTCCATTCCAGTGAGTTTTTTGTTTTTTTTAAAAATAGATCCGTGTCCTTCCCAGCAATGGAGATAGAAATGTTATGGAAAAAGCTTAGCTGCCTACAGACAAACAACAGCACCAAGTCTTGTGGCACTTTTGAGTCTAACAATCCTAGAGGGTGCCCTTTGGCATCACACCTGTGTGATTACCATTTAACAAAGAATATGTGCACATGCGTGCATGGGTCTGCACATGTGTGCACACAGTATTTTTGTTCTTCCTCTCCATTCTCTGACTGGAGAATGTTGAGAGGGTAACGTATGGTGGGAGTCTTAGTTACCTCAAGTGAGAAGTAAGGTATCAAGGTGAGAAGCAAGATATATATTCTCTGGAGACAGAAGCTGGGAATGTTGCTGCCAGCTGCCCTACTGTCTAGCACTTTCTTTGTCTGAGCTGGTTGAGAGGATTTTTGTTAGCGCAAAATCAGTGGAAATTGAGCAGAATCAGCAGAGTATTGATCAGTCCAGGTAGTCTAAATAACTCAGACACACACAGGCTGCTTCTCCCAACACCAGTGTGTATTTACAGGATATATACACATCTGCAGTTCAGTCTGGCAGCATAACAGGATAGCATTCATCACAAATCAGGAATACATCGTCCGTACAGTTTCACATATATATACATATACACATCTGCATGTGACCAATCAGATTAGATGTTACATCATCCATAAGTCAGCATCCATGAGTCAGCATGACTCAGAATTCTTACACACCTGTACAATATGGCTGCTCATTAACACACACTTTTTTCTGTTCAGGCCTGGAAATTATCCTTGACACCCCTCCTAATTTTTGCCTGAGCAGAACATATACCCAATTCTTCAATCATTTCCTTGTCTTTTTGTATGTTCAGAGGTTTTGTCAAAATGTCAGCTACATTTTCTCTGTCTCGCAATATTGTAACTCAATTTTTGTTTTATTGCTTCTCTGACATTATGATACTTTATGTCAATGTGCTTTCTCCTGCTTCTCATCTTTTCAGTGGTCACCATCTGAATGCACGTAATGTTATCTTCATATACAGTTATGGCCTGATCCACTATAACTCTTAAATCCATGAGTAATTGTTTGTACCACACAACTTCTGAGGATAAATCTGATAATGCTGCAAATTCTGCTTCAGCTGTTGATGTGGCAATGGAACTTTGTTTCCTTGACTTCCACCCCACCAAAGTATCTGCAAATATTACTGTAAACCCAGAAACTGTCATCATTGGCCCAATCACTGTCCACATATGCTTTTAATTTCATTTCATTTGAGGGTTTTATGACTAAACAGTTATCAAGTGTTCCTTTTAAATATCTGAAGTTTTTTTTACTCTTAACCAATGTTTTTGTGTAGGTTTTGACACATGTCTACTCAGAATATTCACCACTGCAGCAATGTCTGGTCTTGTCCAATTGGCAAGATACATCATACTTCCTATTGCTGACTGATATATTTCCTGATTTTCAAACTCTTTGTTCTCAGTTTCTGACTTTTGAAAGTCCACTATCATTAGAGTTTGTACACTTTTACATTCTTGCATGTTCTATTTTACCAACATTTATTCTATTTTCAC